TTATAATCAAAGCATAATAAGCTTATAGGTCTCCATTGTTTTAGGTCTTTTTTATCCCCTTTATTTTTATAATTTAGCGTGATTATACCCATTTTCATTGTTTCGGTTAATTCCCCTTTTAAATATATATTATTTACAATTTCAACTACTTCATCTCCAATTATATTCCAAAATTTTAGATAAAATTCTTTACCTAAGCCATCTATACCTGGTGATTTATTGTTTTCGAAATCGTTAATATTATTTAGACATTCTTCTTTGCTTATAAATTGGTTTAAAACTGACCAATCTTCCTCGTTTAGTTTATTTAATTCTATTTTCCCTAGATATTCATCAACCTCTTGATCATTAAAGCCATCAGAAGTATATAGCTCGGAATAAAAATTTAGAATTATTTGTATTATTGAATTTTTTTCGTCAGTGGGTTTATTGTTTTTATCAAATAGTGATTTTATTTCCTTCTTTGTGCCTCTTTTTTCTTCTGCTATTTTAAAGATTTCAATATTTTCGATATCTTCTTTATAAAAACACTCTCGTGATCTGATTAATGTTCCCATTTTCTCTTTTGTTTCAATTGCTATTATTTCGTCCTTAATTGTATTTATTATAGTGCAATTTTGAGAGGGTTTTGCTTCTTCAACTATTAGAGAGTCATATAACTTATTCAACTTAGATTTACTAATTTTTGTTTGGACCCTTGAGAAATTAATTGTTGTTTCTTTTATTTGTTTTTTTAGGATATCCCAACCTTTTAGAGGGTCATATTTCAGTTTATCTTCTCGCCATTGTTTAATAATATTTGATATTAATATGGTATAGTTTTCATTTTCAAGTAAGCTATTATTCATTTTCCAAAAACCACGACCCCATTTTTGCCGCTTATATTGTATGCTAATCTGAACAATTTTATGATCTGACTTTTTATACGGAATATGTTTAATTTCTTTAATTTTATCAATAAATTCATTATCTGCGTAGAACCTGTCAATTCTAGTACGAGTACCAGAGATGTTGTAGCACGTAAAATTTGCCTTGTCGTTATGTATTTCTCTAAAAACATCTTTAATTCTTAAAGCATCTTTAATACTTTTAAATTTATCTCAGTGCTTTTTATTCGAATTGATATATTGCTTTAGTGCTATTTTTCTTTGTATATAAATCTCCTTGCTTTTGTTTAGTGTAATTAATTGTAGAAAATTGTAAATATATTTTTTGTGCTTTTGTTTCATATTACTTGATTCTAATCGTGTCTTCATTTCCAGTGCTGATTGCTGGCCATTCCCAGGCCAAGTATTTTAATCAATATTTATCTTTATCTGAAACTAATGTGCTTTCTTATTCAGGTTTTCGTATTGACCAGATGTTCAACGAACTGCAACCAACCATCGACAACTACAACACCGTGGTACTTCACGTTGGCGCCAACGACCTCTCCCGTGGTTCATCAGTAAAGACTCTACTCAGGAAATACCAACAACTGACATCAGACATTTGGCACAGCAACCCAACAGCAGACATCATCATATCTGGAGTCCTACCTAGAGCCGACAACCAATTCCCAGGGGCACTTCTGCGCACCAACTTCTTAACGGAACTCAACCAGAGAGCTCGGCTACTCAATACCAAACTACAGTTACTAGCTACCCGAGTTCCAAGACTCCACTACGTTGGTCACCCGTCATTCGCCCAGAAAGGTACTATCCAGAGACACCTACTCAGTCGAGATGGTCTTCATCTAAGCTACCGTGGTACATCAACTGTGGTGAAAGACATCGAGAGCGCCATTCGTCATCTACGCAAAACCAAGGATACTCATGACAGCATCTGGGACCTACCAACGTCAACACCAACGTCAACACCAACGCCAACACCAAAAGCACCTACACCAATGCCTGACCCAACTGAACCAGCTGTAGACCAATCACTGTACCGAACAGCACTACTCACTTTACCGATACCAACACCAACACCAAAACCAGTACTAACTTCAACAGGTATTCAGGTGATTGAAGAGTGGCCTGCTCTTCCACGGGTATGTTATCTGGTATCTTCTCTTATTAACACTTCATCTACCTCTAACACTGTGCATGTTCCTACCACCACGTCCTCATCTGTTCCAGCATGTACCATCTCACCAAATCCTGTTTGTGTCGCACCTACCTCCACTTCTAGCCGCTCACCCACTTCCACTTCTTACCGCTTGTCTACCTCCACTTCTAACCGCTTGCCTACCTCCACTTCTAACCGCTTGCCTACTTCCACTTCTAACCGCTTGCCTACCTCCACTTCTAACCGCTTGTCTACCTCCACTTCTAACCGCTTGCCTACCTCCACTTCCAACCGCTCACCCACTTCTAACCGCTTGCCTACCTCCACTTTTAACCGTCTAGCAGACACTTTCTGGGGTATTGGTTGGAATGGCAGTGGTACCAACATTCAGGGTAAGCTTTTGATGCAGTTACGGTATAGTTACGGTATAGTATTGCTAACACTCCTTCAGTTAACTCACTAGTTACCACCACTCCTATTGCTAACACTCCTTCAGTTAACTCACCAGTTACCACCACCACTCCTACTGATAACACTCCGTCAGTTAACTCCCCAGTTACCACCACTACTATTGCTACCACTCCTTCTGTTAACTCACCAGTTACCACCACTCCTATTGCTAACACTCCTCCCGTTTTAATTGGTTGTGGTGTGACAGTTTATTCAGTTACAGATCATATTCATCAGAGTGCCATTGTGGATATTTTAACTGATCCAGATACATCACGTACATCCGACATGCCACCAGCAAAGCCTAAGGGAAACGAGGTATATTTGATAAGATCCGATAACCATGATGATTGGAAGTGTGACCAATACCAGTGGCTTCATTATGGGAGTAAATCAGTGACAATTAATAGTGTTGTGTTAGAGAAAAAGTTCTACAAGATAAGACTACCCGGTTCTAAAGGACAAATAGAAGGTCGAGGCAGGAATAGAGCAGTTGGTTCATTACAATTTAAGAGAACGGCATATAACTTTAAAGATAACAGGAACTTAGTGTTAGTGCATTACGAAGGTGACGAAACTGTGTATACCCCTCTTTCTCATGGGAATGTGAAAAACAAGATTAATCCACCGGAATTTATTCGAACTGCTCCATCAGTGTTGCAAACAATAGAAAAAGAAGTTAGTTCTGGTCTTAAAACCGCTATGGATGTGTATAGAGATAACATTACAAATAGTGATATTCCTGGTGTGCAACAAGGTGTTTTAAATGCAAGAAATGTGAAACAAGTGGAAAACATTGTGCGAAAAGTGAATGAACAGAAGAGAATAGGCAAAGATGATATTTACAATCTTATGTTGTTGGCTTACCACATGGAGGGATATATTCACGAAATTACTGTGTTCCCGGACTTGACTGCTATAATAGCCTTACCGGAGATGATATCGATAGTGAACCAATTGCTGGATGTTAACACTGAAGAGGATATACCGTTTCAATTTTTCTATGATACAACATGATTATGATAACACCGAAGTTTTACCAGCGCCGGATTCAGAAATAGTGGAAAATATCGATATGCCAGAAACACCAGGAAAACAATCGTCCACAACGGAAACACCTAAATCGAAGAAAAAAAATAAATTCAAATGTAAGGAACAGGATATGAACACTTGTGATACACCTAAACAAGGAAAGAAATTGCGATTTTCGGAGGATGAGGATGAAATACAGCTTATATCGCCGTCCGTGTCACCGAAGAGTACCTGCCGACTTCCGATGAAAAAGCGTAAATTAACAACAGACGCTAAAAGTATAAACCATACACCTTGGTTTGCAAGTTTAAATACAGAACACAAACTTATGTTGGAGAATAATTCATGGCTATGTTCCGAAATTATAAATGTGCGCATGATATGCTAGCGAAACAATTTCCAATTATATCTGGATTTCAATCAACAGGTTTAGCGCCTCTTTTTGATGAAGATAAACAGTGTTGGACAGAAAATTTCGGGACATTCACCAGTCAAGATACACCATGTGTGCAAATTCACCATACCGGAAAATCTCATTGGATTACATCTCTTCAGACTAAAAAGGATAGTGCCGTTTATGTGTTAGATAGTTACAGTAAAGATTTCAGATTAACACCATCGACAGAAATTCAGTTATCAGCTATTTATTCTCATGGAAAAAAGAACTTGCTTGTTAAATTACCTGATGTTCAACAACAAACAAATGGATATGACTGTGGTGTTTATGCTATTGCCAACATGGTGGAATATTGTCTTAAAGAAAAACTCAACACTCAAAGACGTACGAAGTTTATTGAGAAATACATGCGACCACATTTAATATCGTGTTTGGAAAAAGGACATTTTACACCATTTCCTCAAAATACAACATCAAGTACAGACTTTGTTAGGATTTTTGCCAGAAGAATTGAGTGTAGTTGTCAGTGTGGTAAACCAGATGTTTTTGAGAACATGATTGGATGTGAAGCGAAAAGAGGACGGATCAGCTGTACTAAGTGGGTTCATCAGACATGTTCAGGAGTTTCAGAAGATTGGTACTGTGATGAACATCGCGATGCTTGAACATTGTATTGTATTGTATTGTATTGTATTGTATTGTATTGTATTGTATTGTATTGTATTGTATTGTATTGTATTGTATTGTATTGTATTGTATTGTATTGTATTGTATTGTATTGTATTGTATTGTATTGTATTGTATTGTATTGTATTGTATTTTGTATCATCATAGATATAATAGCTATAATATCTATGGTATCATATTGTATTGTATTGTATTGTGTTAACTCCTATATATTAGATATGAACGTTTTTCACGCTAATACGCTTCCGTATATTTCAGCACATTTCTAAACCTTTTTTGCTTACAAAAGAACGAGATATTTGGTACTTTTCACGTGTTCTTGAACTGAAACTGTATATGGTTATTAGTCTCGTTATACAATTCCGGAAGTATACATCCATAATAAGGGAAACAACTCACCATCTCCTGTCAAAAACAAAATAAGCTACAAACTATATTTTTACGGCTTAATTAATGGAATTATCAAAAGATTTTGATGGAAATGCGTTTACAGTTGACGGTACTTTTCATTTATTTTGAATACAACCAGTCATGGTCCAAAGACATCGAGAGACAACAAAATTATGAAAAAATATAGACAGATAGACAAGATAGATAAAAAATTATATGGCACAAAACTTATCTTAGAACCTCAGAGTTCTCGAAATCTTTTTTGTCCCTTATGGTCATTCAAGAAAATCTGCTGTTCCTCACTACTATTTCTATTGAAAATAGCGAAATTGTGTTGGTCCTTTGCAACACTTTTTCGAGAACGTGCAACCTCAATCACAGTGGGTCTCACTAATTAGCGACAAGAAGAATAAATTTAGCGACAAGAAAACTTAAAAAAAAATATTATTAGAATAAATATATTAAAAAAAATATGCATTGACAGCAATAAAGATAAAAAAAATATGCATTGACAGCAATAAAGAGATTTTCATTTTTTTTTTTATTATATTGATAGATGAAGAAATTAATGAGTCAAGATAACATTTGGAGGTTTGCCTGTGATCTGAACAATTTGTTTCAAAGAATTAATATATTAATATTGATGACAGCTTGCGTATATCATCAGCAATATTTTGTTTGTTAATAGGATAGGTACCTATGTAATTCTGCTATTGCTTTATTCATGTTTTCAAGAGAATGGCCAGGCATTTTTTTCGAACCAGCTGATTATTTTCTTGTAAGAATTACTTCTTTTCATAGATGCATAATGACGCTTAAGGATGAACATTAGAATCATGGTTGGAGTAAAGGACGTGTGTCCCTTATTGTATTGCTACAATAACATTCAATTAACACCTATAACTTTGTACACGCGTCAAACTATACAACTACACGCACCAGAATATACAATAATTGTAAATAGTGAGCAACTGTTGAACACTCAACGTTGTCTTTAATTACCTTTAATCTTCAATCAACTTTAAACTATGCATAAACATCATGCGTATAGTTTGATAAGTCAATACCCAAATAAAATATTCACGTTTTAGTAACATTAGGGGTCAACATTATCTTTTCTGGACACTGATTCACGTATAATGCATTTTGCATGCAGTCAGTTTATTATATTTTAGACAAAGAGAGTGTTAAAAAATTTATAAAATAAATATATTATTGTTCTAAAACACAAGAACATGTAAAAATTAATATCATACTACTTAATATTAATTAATATGACAGGGAAATTTCTATATTTATCATTATCTATCAATATATTTAAAAAAAAAAATGAAAATCACTTTACTTTCCGTATATTAAAATAAAAATGTCAATGCATATTTTTTTAATATATTTATTTTAATAATATTTTTATTAAGTTTTGTTGTCGCTAAATAGTCTTCTTGTCGCAAAATTTATTCTTCTTGTCGCTAAATTTATTCTTCTTGTCGCTTCTTGACGCTTCTTGTCGCTAAAATTCTTCTTGTCGCTAATTAGTGAGATAGATCACAGTTGGTTACAGTCATTACATATACTTCAAATTTACTAATCTTGCCGGTTTCCTGACAACGAAAATTAGATCACACTTATTAAATTTATTAAATGAGCCTTCTTTTACTTTTGGGGTCCCTATACCAATCAGGGGACTTACTTAAATGAGTGATTTTTAATCACTGATTCAAGTAACATTTTGTCCACAAATGTTGGAAGTAAGAGTTGTCTTTCTTTAATAATCACCTATTTAAGTAGTACAAATAAATCACTAGACTAAGTGATTTAATTTTATTGTAGCTTTAAATATATAATACTAATGATCCAGGGACTAGAATTTTATGTTGCTAAAATTATCAGAACCAACATCTGTGTTGATAAGATGACCGGTCATGTCAGGTGATAACCTTGTACCGAATCTGGGATAATGACATGAAAATCACTTGTTTAAGTATCATACCTCTCTTTTCTTACAAAAAAACACTTCTTTAAGTATTATTAATTTACTACCCCCACTAATTTCAACACCCCCCGAACAGTGAAATTTTGATCACGAACAGTAAAATTTTATTACATAATCTGTAAGATGAAACCTTGAATTTTACAGGAAAATTACTTCTACTGCTGGAAAAAATCTGTAAAGAAAGTATCAGTTCATTATGTAAAGCCTTCATTATAGCATTTTTCAACAAATATAGAATTTACAGCTAAATGATTGCATCAAAGGCATAAACCTTGCTATTAAAAAGAAGAAAAAGGTTGATTTTTTCCAATTTTACTAATAATAAGATATAATATACGGTAAACCTATATGTTTAAAATTTTGGTAAACCTACAAAATCACAATTTGTGACAAAATTTCAAATTTGCTACTTGAGGTTGCAGTCTTGTAATTGACTGCTCCATAGGTTTACATGCTAAACAGCTGATCTTTGAAAATAAAAAAATAAAAAATGCTACATAGAAATTTTTTTTCATGTTCATATCATGTATGTACTAATGTGAAATTGTGATTTAATCGAAAAAAAAAGTGGGTCATGCCACAAGAATAAAAGTTATGTAACCCTGAAGTCAAAACTATTTTTTTCTACTTTCTGTTTGCTGTTTTTACTAGGCCGCACCACTTCCAGTAAACATGATATCCTTCCACATTCCTGGATTGACATCCCCAAAAAGATGCAAGATTTTTTTTAAATCTATATATATGTTTCAATTCAGTATAAACTTTTAATCAAACAGAAAAAATTGAGTCCAGAAAAAAATTCCGAAAAAAATGGACTATTTTATTTCCCTCCATGTTTTGACATGCACCGGAAACTGGAGTTGTAATACAAGACTGGTACCTATAAATAAGTGATTTTATAAGTCACTTATTTCAGTAATTCCCCTGACTGTATACATGCTATATCTGTATATATATATATATATATATTATGAGTATTAGGTTAACTATCGGTATATATGGTAAATGGGATTCTTGCAAGGTCTGCAATTTTCACCAATCAAAAATATGTTTTTTTTGTACTGGAAATTAATATATGTGATGTAGTAAATCCCAAACCATATCCAACTAAGTAAGACATCACATGACTTCAATGACGTAGCAATTGCAATCCACCATCTACAGTAAATTTTTCTCATTGAAATTGCATAGGCTTTTTAATAAACTTTATTTGCGATTCATCCTATTTTTATACGCCTGTCAAATTTTTGACGGGACGTATTATGGTATACAAATGTCCGGCGTCCGTCCGTCTGTCTGTCCGTCTGTCTGTCCGGCGTAAACATGTCGCACCGTAACTTGAGAATGACTTATCCAAATTTCATGAAACTTAATATAGTTGTTTCTTATGATGGTCAAACGATCTGTATACTTTTTGGTGAAAATAAGATTAAAACTTTTTGAGTTACGGGACTTAGTAACTAAAACAGGTGTGTGTTTTTTTTCACATGTCGCGCCGTATCTCAAAAAGAATTTATGATTATTGCTTAAAACTTTACACACTTCTTAGTTATATTAATCTTAAGATCTGTATACTTTTTGGTGATGATTCAAAATTTTATTTTAGAGATATTGAGTATTTTGTTAAAAAAGGGGGAGGGGTTTTTCACATGTCGCGCCGTTTCTCAAAAACAGTTTATGATTATTGCTTAAAACTTTACACACTTCTTAGTTATATTAACCTGAAGATCTGTATACTTTTTGGTGATGATTCAAAATTTTATTTTTGAGTTATTGAGTATTTTGTAAAAAAAGGGGAGGGGTTTTTCACATGTCGCGCCGTATCTCAAAAACGATCAATGATTATTGCTTAAAATTTTAAACACTTCTTAGTTATATTAATCTAAAGATCTGTATACTTTTTGGTTTTGATTCAAAATTTTATTTTAGAGATATTGAGTTTTTTGTAAAAAAAAAAGGGGGGTTTTCGCATGTCATGCCGTATGTCAGAAACTATTTATGCTTATTGCATAAAAATTCACACACAAGACGACGGGCATATCATGCGCTCATGGCGCAGCTGTTTATTTAAATTTAAATTCATTGGCAAATTATGTCCCTGATCGATTTAAAATCATGAATTTATTTGAAAATATCTGCAGGTTGCATGTTATGACCATGATTACTTTTACAGCAGCTTTTTTGGATGCAAAAGAAATAATTTTGTTACAGTCCATACATATAATAACACCTACATTACAATACAGAAAGGCACAGACATATATGTACATGTGTATATATATGTCTCTGATAAATGTAAAACACAGGTAATCCTGACGAGTTACAGACAGGTAGATACAAGTCTACATTATACAATTATTCGGGTACCTGTAGTACACAGGAAACGTATGCCAAACAAAATTACCAATACTTGTTCTAATCATCCCCTGAACAAAGTTATTTCCAGAGTTTTTATGTAATATATGTCATATTTGAGCCTTGGGAAACAATATAATTTATTTCTTCCAAATATCAAATTCTGTCACAACACTTTAAAATAAAATATCAGAACAATGATAATGAAAATAAATGAATATTTATATTTTCAGCTTCTTAATGTTTTAACATATGTTTTAAAATATGTTGTAACATATTTATTTTTCATGTTTTTATATATTATATATCATTTGTAAAGTACATCAATTTATTAATTTTCTGTTGGTAAAATTTTTCATTTGATCAAAAAGAATTATAACGAACTCAATCATGTCAATGCAAATGATTTTGGTATATTTAATTATATTTTTTTTGTAATTTTATTTGACACAATTTTTAACAAAATTTGACCTAGTGTAGAGATAAAGTCCATGAAAGTGCACATAATTAGATGTAAAAAATTATTGACCCTTTACCAGCTGATCTGTAGCAACAGATTTATTAACCCTTATTATGACTTATATAGCTGGAAATTCAGTGAACTGTAATTCAGAAATTATTGCATGCATTTGTTATTGCCATTTTTGAAATGTACAAAATGCAAGATTAATTATTGCGATTGTATCTGATATCAGAGTACTAGTTCCTATTATTGGTATACTCACTCAATCTCATTATTCACATTAATAAAAGAACAGTGTTCCAATGTCCCCCACATTGCACATATTTTATGTATCCAAGGATCAAGGGCAATAACTAAAAAATACACTTTTTTTGGTCTTTAATACTGTTGATAAATATCTTAGAGAAATGAATGCTTCAGAGCAAATTAAATGTCATTTCCACTATAATTAATATTTCCAAGGGCATAAACCTATTTGATCAGCATTTATTTTCGCAAGTGTCAAAGATATTGCTAATATAAACCTATGATATAAATTTCTTAAAATGTGGGCAAGAATTGTACACATGAGAGCGCTTTTAATATTTTAAAATCAACATTTTGAGAATACTTTTATGAATATATAACATTTTATGAAAAAATAAGAAGAGTTTTATTGCCTGCCCTTTGGTTGAAGATCAGCCAGTGAGTTAGTGGTATGACTGGAATAGACCCTTCTACCATTTTAATGCTGTGGGACATATTTCATGTATTTCAGAATCAATTTTTAAGAAAACTATTTAATTTTTTTTTTTACAGATGACAAAGATGACTTAATTTCTCCTGATGAAGGACCAGTTATTGGTAAAGGTGGTCATGTGATCGAAGCAAGGGGAAGTGTTGACTTACAGAAATCCAAAGGAGAGACATCTCCCCTTTCACATAACAAGAAAGGGTCAGCTTCAGGAAAAGATTTGTAAGTGTTTATTAGATATCTCCCCAGCAATAAATTTGAATCATTTTCATTTTATATATGATCTTCAAAGTTTAGATTTGATGTATTGTTTATTTTTGTAAAAATGATTCATGTAGCCACACAAAAATAAAAATTTAGAAGGGAAATAATCCTTACAATATTATGACAATGATTAGTGAATAAAGATTTTTTTTCTATATTCCTAACTCACTGTCACAGACACACTTAACCTCTGGTTATAAGACATGTCAAACAGCAATGAGGTGTCAGCAAATTTTAATTTAGTACGGCAGATCAAAATGCTGAGAGAAAGATATTCCCATGTTAAAAATCAAAGCCTACATGTAGACCCAGGTGTGATTAACTCGATGAAGTATCCATTACTAAATGAAAAAGTTATTGAATTATCCTGAAGTATTTTTTAGAAATCATATCTTAGGTCGTCTTTACTTGATTGTTAACACCTTTCTATCTGTAATTTATGCTGACGGTAAGCTGAATCATAGTTCCAGAAACAATGTCAATTTTGCAATTGAAAAGTCTACTATATGATAAGTATGCACAAAATGTACATGCATTGTTAACATCAAGAAATTACTTAGTTTGATTAGCACAAAAATCACCTGCAAACACTCCATCTTTTTTACATCTAGATTAGATGATATGAAATGTTGATAAATTTACGATGGTATCATTATTATTGTAGACAAACGTCCCATGGATTGAAGGTTATAGTTGGAGTAGCAATAGGATTCTCTGTACTGGTTACCATAGCGCTGCTCCTTACCATCTATCTAGGTCATGGACAGGTAAGAAAGTTGAAACAGATCATGTCATATCGATATCTGAAAGGAGGAAGTTCGCAATTTGGCCCTGATGATGAAGTTTAATGTATTAAGCTAAAAAATGTTTTAAGTTGATGAAAATTTATATTACACAGTTAATTTGAACTATTGTTGTCTAAGATTAATTTAAAGCATTGATTTTTACATCCCAAATAGACCAAAAATTTAATAAAATGAGAAATTTGACAAGAGCCTCTATTTTAATTAATTAAATAATAATTTCAAACAAATTTAGGCCTACAAAACAGAGCGCAGGTGTGGACAAACTAAATATTCAAGTCCGATATATATATAACAAACATTATCTTAAAAGATCTTTTTTTGTTGACACATGCCCTCTATGTTTCCTGTCTAAAAATTCAATGGAAATTAACTCATTTTTATTGAAATTTTGTGGAAAATCAAAATGAGTGCTATTTGTGACGTCATGAATAGAATGCAAGAACGTAAATTTTCAGTTTAAGGTCATATTTTCTATTAAGTCATTATATTAGCTATGTTTCAGTGTGATATAGGTCAATAGATCCTAATGTGAAATTGTAGAAACAGGGGCCATTTTAGGGCCTTATTGTACTCCGTTAGAATTTTTAAGGTCAAACTGTCTCAACTAGAATTGTCTTTCCCGTTTTAGTTTACCTCATGGCATTTGAGGGCCTTGCAGTATGTCTATATGTTCAGTCTATATTGATAGGGAGTTCTCAGATATTGATTGATATATCGATGAACAAACATTTCAAGTATATGAAAACATGTTAAGTACTGTATAGCGGGTTATTTTCGTGGGTGTTTTTTTTTCGCTTATTTTGGCGGATGAAAGAAAATCACGAAAATAAATTCTGCGAAAATTAATGCATACTTTTGTTACTTTCTAATAGCTAAAGCATCGGTCGGTAGGTCAATAACGGTATAGGTTATTTTTAACAACATAAACAAAAAGGGCATTGAACATACATGTATTTTATAAAATGACTGTCACATGTGTATATCATTATCAATTAGTGTCAAATAGATTATGAGTAGGGTACTCTATCAGGTAATTATCCTTATTAATTAGTGTCAAATTACATAAGAGTTGTAAATCAGTCTTGATAATTTTATAACCTAATTAGTGAGTACATCAAAGTTCCAGGCAAGATCAATAAATAAGACGTCATTTAGGTAAACAAATCAATTAACTTGCTTCTCAATTTTTCAATATTTTATATGCAACAATTTCAGTATCCGCCAAAATATTTAATTGGGATTTTAAGAATCCACCAAAATAAAAACCGCCAAAATTTTTCGTATACTTTGTTGCCCCTAAATCACGAAATTTTACACCTGCGAAAATAACCCGCTATACGGTACATAGCTTCTTTTTTATTTATTAACAACTTTTATAGACTCTGAAAGTTCTTGATGTTCACCACAGGCCATTGTTTTTATATTAAAAAGTTAATTTGAAATATGCTGGATGTTAAGAATTTACATGAATATATATAATAAAATTGTAGCTATTTTTTTTGTGTGACTTAGACAAATGACATAACTACATGGTAAGATTTTTACCATGGTTGCAGTTAATGCTTGTTACAGTTCAGTTTTGGAATTAGTGTTTGTATTGTTACATTTTAATAATGTAAAGGAGTTTTAACTTATGCAGGTTGGGGCTTCAGGTGCTGTAGCAGCAGATGTCCCAGAATGTTCAGTTATGGGGTTGACTATACTAGAACAGGGAGGCAATGCTGTGGATGCTGCTGTCTCAACAATGTTTTGTGTGGGTGTGGTCAATGCACAGAGTTCTGGGATAGGAGGGTGAGTAATCAAAAACTACTTCAAAGCTTTGTTAAAACACAGATATTGCATACACATGTTCTATGTTATCAACATTCAATTATGAAAACTGATATATATATATAAAATTAAAATTGAGAATGGAAATGGGGAATGTGTCAAAGAGACAACATTCCGACCATAGAGCAGACAACAGCCGAAGGCCACCAATGGGTCTTCAATGCAGAGAGAAACTCCCTCACCAGGGGGCGTCCTTCAGCTGGCCCCTAAACAAATATGTATACTAGTTCAGTGATAATGGACGTCATACTAAACTCCAAATTATACACAAGAACATATATATATATATTTGTCAACTCTTTTCTGTTTAAAAGAGTATTGCAAATGGAATTAAATTTTTAAATATTTGTCCATGATTAAAATAATTATTTTAAAGGTTCCACCCTTTGACATTTTATTGTGGTGATTTTTTAAACGAATCACCTTGTGTGTACTTGATATTATCATTGTGTATAGAAGTATTTTTAACCATATTTAATTTACTTTCAGTGGAGGTTTCATGATGGTTCATGATCATAAAACAAATGAAGCTAAAGTCTACGATTTTAGAGAAGTTGCTCCAAAAGCTGCCACAAAGACAATGTTTGGTGGTGATTCAGCCAAAACATTAAAGGTATATTTTAAACCTTTTTAAAGCAGTGTAACAAATGCAATTATTTTAAAGGACTGAAATGATACTGCTTGATAATGAAATGTCAAACATTGGTCATAGTTTAATTAGAGAGTATTTAGTCATCCAGGCAGTCAGAGATTTATGGAAAACATTATCTTGTAATAAGTAATATTTTCATTTTCTTCTCTGAACCTACTTGTTAAATGCTATAATAAAAAAAAAGAAATGAAGTTTAAAAGGTCATCCACAAATTATCTTCATTGAAAGAAAATCAACACTGCTGGAGGCAATATATGGGACTCTGTTTGGACTCTTTTTTTCATAAATCTTTTCTTCTGAAATTACACGGTGAATGTTTTGAAATTTAAGCGGACTACGATTGGATAACCCTCTACAAACAATATTGTGTTCTTTTGGTATTTGCAGGGAGGTCTGTCTGTTGCTGTGCCTGGAGAGCTTAAAGGAATGGAACTGGCACATAAAAAATATGGAAAGTATGTAGCTTGTATTATAGTTCAAATTGAAATTTTTAGAAATGTTAATGAAATTGTAAATATAGAGAAGTGTAGTATTACTACAAAACAAGTTCTGTTGTGTGATTCAGATTTTTATTTCAATGCACTGCATACAGAGTACCTAGGTTGCAACATCTGTAAAGTACAACATTTTTCAAACTTTATTAAAGCCTTGCGCACATAATGCACCCAGCTGTTTTTACATTTTGAACTTTCTAAAAGGACAGATTCGAATTAACCAAAATTCAGCAAATATTATTATTAATGAAAATATTTCTCAGCAGTTATGTAGCTTATGATAACTAAGTTTGTGGTTGTCATAAAGATATTTCAAATTGATGTGAATACAAACGACAATCAATGAATCAGTTTATTGACATAGCCCTTGGATGTTGTTATTTAAAAATGATTTTAGTTTCCGGCCAATCGATTTGTCCATCTTTACTAGAATGTGTGATGTTGGGGCCTTTTATAGCTGACTATACACACCAGGTATCCGGATCCAAAAACATGGAGGGATCCAAATCACAAGTAGCAATTAATGAACAATGTGTAACAGTGGATAAGTAAAATTTGGATCCGATTCCCACAGAGGAAATATGGTCTGTGGGATTTGGATCCAGATTTAACTAACCCACCGTTACACATTGTTCATTAATTCCTCCTCAGATTAGGATCCCTCTGCAGCTTTGGATTCGGATACCTGCTATGCTATAGGGAATGGTTTTTTTTTTTTATTTTTTGCAGTATGATGACCTTTAGTTGATAACATTTACATCATAATTGGAACTCTGGCGAATAATTTTTTAATTGGCAATCATACCACATCTCCTTATTTTTATACTAATTTAAGATTTGTTTTGACCTATTTGAACTAATTAAGGCATAATTGTTGATATTTTTATAGACAATAACATTTATGTTAGTTAGTATTGTGCACAGATGACTGTGGAGTAAAAACAGAACCGATGGTCTCATAATAGCCTGCTCATTTCAAGTGTATATACGTAGTGGGTTGTGGGTTAGATGCCAGGTCAAACCAAAGACTTTGAAATTTGGTATTTGCTGCTTCTCCGCTAAGCACACAAAAATTAAGAAGTAGGAGCAAAGACTTGTTGGCTCAGAATCAGAATAATGTCTCAGGGTAGGGTGACATGTCGTCCTGCGGACTGTTACTTTGTGAACTAGCACTTTAAAAATCTGACTTAGCATGGCATTCTAGTACAAAGTAGGATCTATATTCATATCATATTATCATGTTCTTGTCCTGAATATGCATTTAATTTGTCACTGGACCTTAAACAGCCATCCATCCATCCATCCATCCATCCAGAGGAGTAAAACAGAATACTATTTACATTAGATATATTACACCAATGGGGAAGTCCTAAATGTTAAAAAAAATCTGTAAGCAAAATTGTTATTATTGATTATAAAAATTAATATAAGATAAGTTACAAGACTATCCTTTTTAAACTTTTGTTATTTCCTCATTACATTGATAATTTATAGGTTACCATGGAGTTCTGTAGTAAAACCAGCTGCAAATTTAGCCAGAAATGGATACAAGGTTACCATGGCAATGGGTAACTATCATTTCTATATGTTCTAATCTACAACAGTATATTTATTTATAAACATGATGTATGGTAAACATAGATGAGACAGCAACCTAACAACACAAACAAATGAGACAGCAACTCCACAACACAAATCAATGAGACAGCAACACCCCAATGCAAACATGAATGAAACAGCAACATAGCACAAACATATATAAGACAACAACACAAACAAATGAGATGGCAACCCTACAACACAAACATGAATGAAAGACAGCACCCAACAGCACAAACATATGAATGTGAGACAGCAACCCAACAGCACAAACATGAATGAGAGACAGCAACCCAACAGCACAAACATGAATGAGGGACAGCAACCCAACAGCACAAACATATGAATGAGAGACAGCAACCCAACAGCACAAACACATGAATGAGAGACAGCAACCAAACAGCACAAACATAAATGAGAGACAGCAACCCAACAGCACACAAACATGAATGACAGACAGCAACCCAACAGCACAAACACATGAATGAGAGAGCAATCCAACAGCATAAACATGAATCAGAGACAGCAACCCAACAGCACAAACATGAATGAGAGACAGTAACCCAACAGCACAAACATGAACGAGAGACAGCAACCCAACATCACAAACATGAATGACAGACCAACCCATCAGCACAAACATATGAATGAGAGACAGAACCCAACAGAACAAACATATGAATGAGAGACAGAACCCAACAGCACAAACATAAATGAGAGACAGCAACCCAACATCACAAATATATGAATGAGAGACAGCAACCCAACAGCATAAACATGAATGAGAGACAGCAACCCAACAGCACAAACATGAATGAGAGACAGCAACCCAACATCACAAACATGAATGAGAGACAGCACCCCAACAGCACAAACATATGAATGAGAGACAGCAACCCAACATCACAAACATGAATGAGAGACAGCAACCCAACAGCACAAAACATATGAATGAGAGAGCAACTCAACAACTCAAAATATGCAAATAGAGATTACTCTTCAACAATAGACAAGTGCTAATACCCAATTGCAATGATTCACGTTCTGAACATGCATGACATATTAATGTTATTTGAACTAATTTAGGCATGATTGTTGCTAAAGATTAGCAAAGAACTTCCTGCAAACCACATAACTGCATGTTTTGTACTTCAGTGTTTCATTTCATACTTTTACTTTTCCTTAAAATGCCTCACTAGTGACTAGTTGGCGAAATATTTAGACCATTATGAACAATTACTTTGCGGTAATTTACGGGTGATGTTGACTTACATGTTGTTTTAACATTTAGATAAAATATGATTTTGATGTGCTTTCATGTTCAACTTTATATGTGTTTTCAGCAACAGATTTTAAAACAGGAAAGGTCAAAATAAGTGATTTCCAAGGTCAGCTTGGTAACATCTACCTAACAAGTGATGGACAGTTTGTAAAGGAAGGGACGAAGATCAAAAACATAAAGTTATCTGATACTCTAGACATCATTGCAGCTAAAGGCAGCGATGCATTCTATGAGGGAGAACTAGTACAGAGTATTGTTAATGCTGTGAGTAAATATATTACAACTTATTGGGGATGACAATCTATAAAAAAAGAAGTAAATACTTTAAATTCACAAGTTTGTGCATGCATTTATTATCTCCATTGTTCAACAATGGATAAAAATTTGAAATAATTATTATGATTTCAGGAAATGCTGCATACGAGTTTAAAAATTCCATTGAAATTCAAAATGTGACTTTTTATATTTACATTTGGAACCTGATGTTCAGTGGTTGTCGTTTGTTGATGTGGTTCATAAGTGTTTCTCGTTTATCGTTTTTTATATAGATTAGACCGTTGGTTTTCCTGTTTGAATGGTTTTACACTAGTCATTTTTGGGGCCCTTTATAGCTTGCTGTTCGGTGTGAGCCAAGGCTCCGTGTTGAAGGCCGTACTTTGACCTATAATGGTTTACTTTAACAAATTGTGACTTGGATGGAGAGTTGTCTCATTGGCACTCATACCACATTTTCTTATATCTATCTATATAAAATAAAAACATTGCAAAAATTTATGAATGTAGCTGTGAAAGTGTGATGATGAAATGGTATGATAATAACTGTTTTATTATACAATTGAAATTTTGACAAGCATGTAATGGTATGATGGGTCATTGTCTATCCATGGACAGTCACATTTTGATTTTGTACAGAAACTTTTGATCTAGATAATCAATTCCTTAAACAATTTTATTACAGCAGTTCTCAACACCAAATAAAAAAATAATATATATAAAATAAATAACAGGAATTACCAAAAATATTTTGACAGTACAATGGACCAACCAAACATAAATTACCACCCGACTCCTTCAAGAAAATGGAGGTACTTGAATATGCATTGATTATTGGTCCAAATTTATCTGAAAAATGGACAAAATGACTATTAAAACAGTGTCATCTTAGGATTAAACATTCATCTTTTTAATTTCAAATTTGAAATGGACCACCTAAAAATTGCACAAAAATGCATTCTTTTATACATTATATATAGATAAAACTCTGCAGAAACACATTATCAACACACAAATAAAGCTTTAAACAGTCAGTAAGGGTCAATGTATTTTGACTGTTCAAATAGCACAGTTGCAGTATAAATTACTTTTATTGTGTATATGAATGGATACTACACAGAATTTGATAACAAACAAGATGTACAGGAAAAGACTACTGTAAATTCAGAAATTATTGCGTGCATTTATTATTGCGATTTTTGAAGAATGGACAAAAATGCGAGATTAATTATTGCGATGTCAGGAAAATCTGCATACAGATATATGTATAAGATATCAGAATGCGAGTTCTTATTATTGCGATACTAACCTAGTCACATTATTCGCATTAATAAAAACCTCGCAATAATTTCCGAATTTACAGTACTTATTTAAACCTGAATTATCTGTACTGAATAAATGTCAATTTGACAATTACCATATTATAACATTTAAATGATTTTTTGTTGGTTATTTAATCCTCTTGAGTTGTCATGGTTGTGAATTTATTTATTTGTTTCACATGTTTCATTTTAGAGTTTTAAACCATCTCTCAATATGAAAAAAAAATCAAATTTTTTTTGTGGGAAATCAGTAGTTTCCATCAATCAGTCTGAAACTTCCAAATTAATCATTTCAAAGATAAAAGGCTAATTTAATGCAGTGAGCAAAATTAAACAAAGTGAATCGTCTTCAGATATCTTAATTGTGAAAAAAAAAAACATTATGTGAAATGAGGTTAAAAGACAGTAATTATTCAAAAGTTCCATTGGCTTTTGATGCCTGTGTTCTTGTAAAGACTTTATTTTCAGTTGCAAATATATTATTGCAACAAGTTTTGTTTCTGTCAATAGGTAACAAATGCAGGAGGCATATTGACAGCGGATGACCTGAAGGATTATGAGGTAGTAGTTAGAGATGTTGTCAAGACAACATATAAAGGTAAGAGGTCAGAGATGTTGTCAGGACAACATACTGAGGATGTACTTAGGTCAGGTTTAGGAATTTGTGTCATATGTTCAGACTCCTTGTTTTTTTTTCTTACGATACAGGGTAAAATATTTTGCCCCATAACACCCATTTTTCTTTTCATATAAAACTTCAATAGCTCATAAAAGGTCATTTACCAAAATTAACGCAGATTCTAGATTTCTTTTCTTTCGATTTGAGACCCAAATAATACCAATGCAAATATAAGGTAGAAGTCAGAGTCAGCAATTTCCCGCCATTTTTTAAAATTTAAATATCTCGAAAAGGAGTTCCATAACCTATCAATATTTTTAGCTTGTTTTGTTTCTTAACTAATGCTCTTCTGACTTATAGTATCAATTTTGAATTCTAGATTTTTTTAATTTCACCTAAGTACATCCTTAAGGTAACAGGACAGAGATGTTGTCAGGCCAACATTTAAAGGTGAGAGGTCAGATATATTGTCAGGACAATATTTAAAGGTAAGAGGTTATAGATGTCGTAAGTAACAAATGCTTAAATGTCAATATAATTTGGCTGCTTAAATAGCGCAGCATGTTTAGTAATTATTAAAGCATAAAATTGCCATTGATTCACAGAAAAAAAGGAATTTTCTACAAATTTACAAAAAAAAGTATATCTAATTATTGATCAATTAAAAAAAAAACTTCCAAAAAACAAATATTTATATATATTTGGAAAATCACGGTTTATTTTAATTAGAAACTCTAATCTGCTTATGGTATTGAGAACAAGAAGGCCACACATGCCTTTTTCCTTATTTGTTGAAGAAAAAAATTCCTTAAAAAATAAAATTTGTAAACACTAAATGACAATATGATACACTATACACACTGTTTATGATTTATTATTACAGATCAGACATTGATATCAGTACCAGCTCCAGGGGGTGGACCAGTAATATTATCTATCATGAACATATTGGAAGGGTATAACTTCAAATCAGGCGATAAAAACCAAACTAAGACAGTACACAGAATGTTAGAGGTTTGTTCATTTAAATAATGGGCTACTTTGTTCTAGACTCTTTAAATTCAGAAATTTTTGTGATTATTGGGCATTTGACAAAATGCAAGACTTATTATTGCCATTTCAGGAAAAGCTGTTTACAAAAAATATTATCAAAATTTAAAATGCAACATTTTATTTTTTGGAAGATCTATCCCATTGTAATTTTGCCAAAATAAAAACACCATAAAATTTTCAGAATTTTCAGTACAACTGTGAACGCAGAAATTTCATTGGTTTTTGTCTCGCCTTGACAGAGTCAAAAAGCGAGACATAGGTATGCTGTTGTCGGCGTCAACAATATATTACATTGTAGTTTGTGATTAGGTCAGTTTATGGGGAACCACTGGTGGTAGGTCAATGATATTTGATATGCAGTTGAATTAGCATTGACACATCTCATTTCCTTGGAGATTATTTGGCCCTGCCCCCTCAGTCATGGTCTATTGACTTTGAAACTTTTGCTTAGTTTACATGTATTAGTTTGTGATTAGGTCAGTTTATGGGGAACCATTAGTGGAAGGCTAATGATAATTGGTATGCAGTTGTATAAGCATTAGAACATCTCATTTCCATGGAGAATATTTGGCCCTGCCCCGTCAGTCATGGTCTATTGACTCTGAACTTTTTGCTTAGTTTACATGTATTAGTTTGTGATTAGATTAGTTTAAGATGAACAGGTCATGTTAAGTCAATGATATTTGGTATATAAATTTATTGGCATTTGCAAGTCTCATTTCCATGGAGATTATATAGCTCCACCCCCTCATCATGGTTCATTGATTTTGAAACTTTTACATAGTTTACAAGTTAATGTTTGTGGTTAGGTTTGTTTAAAGGGAACGACTTTATATGATAAGTCAATGGTATTTGGTATGCAGTTGTATTAGCATTGGCACATCTCATTTCCATGGAGATTGTTTAGTCCCGACCTTCAGTCATGGTTCATTGACTTTGAACATTTGCATAACTTACATGTTAAAGTATTGCTATTTTAATTTCAACATTTGCATTATCAAAATTACAAAAAGGCGAGACATACCTCTATGTAAACAGTGTATTAGTTTTGTTTATTTCCTGAATAAGTATTATTCCCTTGAATTAATTACCAAATCAAAAAAGAAACTGACAATGAACACTTCTATCTATAATAAGTGATAAACTAGGAAAAATCCAGCTTCACAAAATCAAAATGAAATTCAAAACTGTGAAATGTTCACCCCTTAAAAAAATAATGTTTCTGCATTAAAATTTGTTTCAATATGAATAATGGGAGATGTGTGATATATATACAGTCGAACCTCGTTGTGTTGAACTCAGTTGTGTCAAAAACTTGGATGAGTCCAAGTAATTTCTTGGTCCCGGTAAAATTCCAGTTTGATCAATGCACAGTTACCTCTGATGAGTAGAACTCAGTTGATTCGAATACTCGGTTTAGTTGAGTAAATGTTATAGTCCCGTTGATTTGAAATTAATGTAAATTAACCCTGATGTCTCAAAGTTCGTAAGTAAGAATTTTCAAAAGATGTAGAGCTAATGATAAAAATTCAAATCAGGTGTATTTCTTATGAAACCTAATCATTTTCAAAAGAGATTAAAGCTGAGTAAACATACTTGTTTGTATAACAGTTAAAATGACCCGTAATTAACATCTTTGTTGATCATCCAAGTGGAACGTTAGTGTTTTGAACACATTTCACATGACATAAAAACGAAACGAATTTAAATGAACAAAGCCGAGATTAAATGCATTGTTAGAATTAAAATTCATAAATTACAATAGATAATAGGATTAAGACAATTATGATAAATTCATAATAATTTAATGTAAAGCAGACGACCTCATCAGAGACCATTCAGAACTTGTTTCGTTCCGCGAGTCATTTCATAATTTACAGTGACTGACGTTTGTAAATATAAGTGTATACTATTGATTTTATTAGTCCCCTAGCAACGAAGTCGAAGGGGACTTTAGGTTTGCACTCCGTCTGTCTGTCTGTCTGTCCGTCTGTCTGTCCTTCTGTCAGTCCGGCAAATCAGCTTTCCACACTTTTTTTCTTCATTCTTGAAGATATTGATTTGATATTTGGTATATTGTTTTATCATGACAAGTTACAGATCAAGTTCGAATTTTGTTCCGGTCTGATAATTTAGTCCAGAGTTATGGACCATAACTCTGGACCATATCTAATGTTAGAGTACTATGTTAAACCATATTTCTGTACAAAGGGAGATAACTCATTTTTTTAAAGACATTCATTGTTAAATTATTTGAAGATTTTTTTATCAGGTTTGTTAGTTATTTAGTATAAACTAATATTCTGAATGCTATATATATATATAAAGAAAAATTTATGATATATCAATCAAATTCTGTAAACAGTGGAAGGTAAACTAATTTTCAAAGAAGGTAAAATTCCTCCAAAAATCCATATTAAATTTCAAGATCAGTCATCTCAAAAAGACTGAAACAAACTTAATAACAATGACAGGTGGGCGAATAAATTACTTGAATGAGTGATCTGTAATGTATATAAATGGACTTGTAATCATCTTTAATATATTAATTACTTGTATTGAACAGACACCTACTAATGAACACGAGTTTGCAATTACATTACGTCGGTGCACTCAGCCCGTACGAAATTATAAGGCGTATTACACCTGGAAATCTGGCGTAAACAAGGCGTAAGTGGTAGTTACGTGTCCAGATCCAGGCGTAAGGGAACAGGAAACGTAAATTTGAAGTCCTTACGGGCGTAGAAAATATGGTAAACAAGGCGTAAATTGAAATAAGCAAGGCGTAAATTTTCCTACGGGCGTAAAACTGTTGGTATGGCGTAAATCATAATACCCATAATGCTTTATTGATAAAGGATCATGGGATTTTTTTTCAAAATTTGGCTCTTTGGTATTATTTTGCAAGAGTTGGACTTATGGCAGCTTTATATATTCAGGGATAATTAAGCTTGTTTTGTGCTTTTTGGAAGAAATTGGAATTATGGAATCAAATTGATTAATGAAAATTGTGAAATAAAAGGAAAGTAATATACATGGTAAAAGATAATTATGTGAGTAACTAAGTTTTTTTTTAACAGTAATTTTGAATTCTGAAAACCTTCATCCTTGGATGATAACATTAAAATCTTTCACATTAAGTTAAATTGCAGTACATGTATTATCATTGATATTTGGTTCAAATGACATTAATTTTCAAAAAAACTTAGTTAAAATGCTGGTTTTATTTCAGAAAGAATTAATTGTCATAATTCTAATTTAAACTTAAACTTATTTGAGCCAGGGTCTGTCTAAAATGTATTTATTTATATAGCTTCTTCAATTAAGGGTTAATATTTCAAGTTTCATGTCAAACAATGAGAAATTTAAGCAATAGTACAGAAGTTTGTATCAAATACACAAAAGTACACAGCTAGGATAATACACCGATTTAAAATAAGTGTAGTATTATGTAAGGATATTACGCCTGTTTTTTTTATTGACCAGGCGTACTCATTTGCATATAACGCCTGGTTTTCTGTGGACCAGGCGTATTCATTTAAATATTACGCCTAATTTTACGCCTGGTTTCCGCCTCAGTTACGCTTGGTTTCCGCCTGGTTTACGCCTGGTTGACGCCTGGACATGCATTCCGTAAACACTACAATGACGCCCTGATAGAGTTTGATTTCTACGCCTGGTTTCCGTGTCATTTACGGGCGTCCCATTTCGTATAGGGGAAGATGTCTTCCTGATCAAGGCATCTGGTATCTTTCCGTTTGATATTCCTACTGTTTTTAACCAATTATTGAGTATACACATCAGGGTAACTAGAATTAAAGTCTCTTACCCTATATAAACAAATTCCCTGTGTATTCGAGAATAAAAAATGTTTGACTTATATAGAAATACTAAATATACTGTTTAATTTAAACACAACTTAGACTCGGAACGATTAATAGCTTGACCAATTATATAGTTACCGATTATTGTTGAAGACTATATGCTGCCCTCTAAATGTCTCTTGGTTATTTCATTTGTTGGTGTGTAGCCTCATTTATGTATATGCTACATCGCTTTGTTATTCATATTATATTCATGATAACACTTGAAAACATTTGTCTGTACGAAGTTCTATTCTTGACATTCTTGGTATAGCTTTATTGGGAACGTGCACACCCGACAATTTGCATTACACAAACATAGTCATTATATTTGGCAAGGTCAATTCTCATAAATAAAAACAAAATACAAGGTAAAGTTTTCAAAGCATTTAAGAAATGAAATTCTACAAAAGTCTAAACTATACTGGAAACCATGCATCCCCTTTCTGTGCCGTTACTAAAGGATACATAAATAATTGAAATAAATCAAATCTGTTTTCAATTTTCTATAATATGAAAATAACATATGAATACATAAAAAAAAAAAAATTGTCTTTCCGTTGGTTAAAATCGTGGGAACATTATCATTGCTATCGGTCGTATTTACGATATAATTCATTATATATATCATTAACTTTATTTATTAGATAAGTTGCGACATTACTGCATTCGACTTATCACTGTAAATTTACTTGCAAAGAGTATACCTAACACGACGGGTGCCACTAGTAGAACAGAAACTGTTTACCCTTCTGGAGCACCTGATTTCACTCCAGATTTTTACTGGCGTTTTTGTTGCTGAATCTTTCGTTTCTGTGCAGTGTCTTAGTGACTTTTGTTTGTCTTTCCGTCGTTTTTTTTCCTTTTGTGGCAATGTCTGTTTTAATTGGACTTATGGTTTTTTATTGCCCCTTAAGTATCACCCTCTTATTTTATAAATTTTCAACTTACCTAAATATCGTAGTTTTTTTAACCATCGTTGTGAATCTACTGAATGAATCAGGTCTGCAAACAATCCATATGCTGACAACATAAAGGAGTATGCCACCAGTTTGTTCTCACAAAAATTACCAAATACTGGGAAATCTTGTTTACCACCTTCGAAAAAAAAAAATATCAGTCACATTTTATTAAAGTTATGGATATGATGACTCTAAATTAAACTTTTTCGCAGTGTATATATCATGTATATGTTACAGTACAAATTTGAATTCAGTGGGATCCAGAATCCTAGTACAAATTGTAATTTAAATTTTTGATTTATACTAATTTCAATCCAGTACAAATTTGAATTCCAAATTCCGCTATTAGAAATTCAGATATCCAGATTTGATAAAGGTGAAACCTGAAAATTACACATAAGATGGATATAACACACAAAACAAAATGATATTTTTTTGTTATTTACTATTATTAAATGACATTGTAATATTTTCCTGTCTAAATGTTGTGAACATGTTTTACAAGTTAACCCTGATGCTTCAAATACATCCCTCAGATTTTCTCTAAACTTTAAGATGGTTTTTAACTCAATTATTGTTTAAGAAGAGGACCTTGTCAATAAACATACATTTTGCGTCATTGATCTCAACTCTGCCTTAGCTTGTGGCTTCGTTGTAGCATGCTGTTCTTAAGTAAGGTTGGTCATACAATTGACTTTAAAATTAGTATTTCCTGCTTCAACACCAAACATACTATACATTTTGGAGTAAGAGCAGTGTTAGATCTCCTCAGAGTGGAGAATAAAGTGTCTGGGTGGTATAACATGTCTTTTTGTTAACTATAAGATTATGGCCTAGCACGGTAAAAATTTCGACTCAGTCTGTCTATCAAGTACAAGGTAGGCTGTATCCATTTTTCATTATACGTTATCGTCATGATTAGACATTCATTTTTTTTGCCGTACGGCATTCAACAACCATCAATATATCAATCTATTTACTCTTTATAATGTCAGTTGGTTTCTGTCTGTAATTTGCAGTAAAATATAATATTGTTGCTATGCCAAAATTGATTGCTCAACAATAAAACAGAAAACGTTGTACAATGTTGTAATAAATAAACTATTTCAAAAGAAGTTCACAAAATTTTATGTCAGATGTACAGATATATTTTACCCAATTTTTTTTATAATAATGTATCGAAAACTACATTTCATTTCATTAATTCTGTTTATCTATTGAGACAGTACAATTCAGAGATAAAATAACTGATAATTTACCCAGGACAATCTGGTATAAAAACACAGGCACTTGTCTCTGAAATTATTTTTCCTATATACCTTAATTTAACATGTGTTATTTTAAGGTATATAGGAAATTTTTTTTCTGAGACAAGTGCCTGTGAATAAAAAGTAAAACAAAATTACCGAACTTCAAAGAAAATTCAAATCGGAAAGTCTCTTATCAAATGGCAAAATCAAAAGCTCAAACACATCAAACGAATGGAAAACAACTGTCATATTTCTGACTTGTTACAGACATTTTCTTATGTAGAAAATGGTGGATTAAACCTAGTTTTATAGCTAGCTAAACCTCTCACTTGTATGACAGTCGCATAAAATTAAAAAAAAACTACAGTATTAAGTAATACTCCCGGATCCAAATAGAAATTAAATCCATTACTACAATCTGGAATTACTCTTGTACAAATCAGAATATCACAGTTTCTACTACATATGTAATAGATAGATATTTAACTTTGATTTGAACTGGATTGAAAATAGTAAAAAATGAAAATTTGAATTTTCACCAGCAGAAATTTGGAATCATTTCTTCTTTGTGGATTCTGGATCCTATCGAATTCCAACTGAAGCTGTAAAATATAAATACAATATGCATTTACTGTTGACAATAAAAAATGTATTTGGATGAGTATTAGAAACAGAAAGTAAAGCAAGTCTTTGAATAAGTATAATATTGTTTTCAAGTCTTAGTTTTTATATATTAAAGAAATAGGACCATAGGATAGGACCAACTTAAGAATGAGCTGTGACTTATATAACAATAGCAAATAGAAGCAGGACCCTTAGAGGCAATGTTCGTTTACAGGTTTAACCCATCATTTTCTTAGGAAAATGCCCGTGCCAAGTCAGGAAAATGACAGTTGTTTTTTGTTGTTTTTCACTCGTTCCGTTAGTTGATAACGTTTGATTTTGACAGTTTGTACGGACATCCCCTTTTAGAATATACCTTGGAGTTTTTTGTGTATTTTTGTTATACTTTTTTACTTTTTAAGTGATCATTACTGTAAATATGTTGCATTTACCTCGTGAGAGGGCATACTCCTTAGTAAACAAAAAGACTAAGTAGTTTTTATATTCTCCCAATGCCATGATAATTTACATGTATATTCACCTTTAACTAAATGTAGAGTTGACGTAACGACATCGACACAACCATACGTAATTGTAGCCATTCCATTACCAGTACCTAGTAAATATAAAAGTTGTGTCAATCGGCAATACTCGGGTGAATCCGCTACTCTCCTCCTATCCGTTAGAATAGAGGAACAGAATCGGTTGAGTTTAGACGATTGAGGTATTTTTAAAGAACTTTTGTTTTTACCATTTTAATCAACTTATTGTGATAGAACGGTGTAAGTATTTGGATCTCAAAATAAAAATTAAACCCTGCCAATATTAGATGTATTAATCAAAAGATTGAACCTTGAAAGTTGTTGTATTCAATCAAAATATAATGTGTTTTGCCATGACCAAATTGGTGTTGGTGTCTTCAACAACAGACCACTGAAAACCATAATTTTGATCATTATGATTTATTATCGCTAAAAAGGATTGATGATCCATTTAATGATGTAAAACGGACTATTGTCAACACCAGAAAATTGATCTGTATATAATAGATATCACCATCTGTAATCATACTGACAATTGTTCCAAGTGATGTACATAATCTTTGACCATCATTATGTAGGGGTTGGATCCATGTTTTCCTTCTAAAAAATTCGGAACAAACAATTATTTTAAATGAATCCGGTTGTCCAAGGCACAACGTGGCGTTAGTCCTATTTGGCACGATTTTGGGGAATTTTTGGTTCTTAATGCTCTTCAACTTCGTATTTAATTTGGCTTTCTAACTGTTTTGATTCAAGTGCCACTAAATGAATAATGAGTCTTGTGTAGACAAAACGCGAGTCTGTCGTAACAATGGCATCTTTGATGAGTTATTTTAATTACATGGAGGCATTTTGTAAAAATGTTTCATTCCCAGCTAATCGACTGTTTGTGACCCCATATACCTGTTATTATACGTGTAGATGAAACAGTAAAGCGGACTTCATATTTCAGAAGATTGACGATAGTGATGGATGATCATATCAGATCAAATAGCTATGATAATGCGGAAACCATTTAAAACATTGCAAAACAAACACAATGATCCAACCTTAGTAATCTTTCATTTATCAATACCTGCTGGTATAAAAGATATCGGGATATCAAGTTGATCTAAAGCAGCGCTACGATCATTCACATCAATATTTTCTGCAGCTTGTTTCTTTAGTAACAGACCATTTACCAGATCATTCAATGTTCCATCCCCTCCCATAATAACTAACCTAATAAAGGAAATAGTTTTAGTTTGGATTATGTACAATAAGCTAGGAGATGGGGTAAAATAACCAATGAGAAAAATGTTCAAAATGAGTGGGATTTTGTTTTCTATGTTGTTTTGTTTACTTTATTTGTCTTTTTTCGTGTTTTTTTTTCATGGCGTTGTAAGTTTATTTTCGACTTATGAGTTTGAATGTCACTTTGGTATCTTTCGCCTCTGTTATTTTTGCTGATTTTCTTTCATTTTCTTCTTTTAGACTGTTCGCGATTGGTTTCTGTGTTGGATTAAATTATAATGGTGTTTTAGAGCCCTTCATGCAATATGTAAAATATAACAATCACAAGTCAGTAACTTTGTCAGAGATTGTTGTTTTTTGTTACTACTGTTTATGTTGACCTAGGAACATGCCGTTGATACTAGATTTTGATTCTATTCACAAAATTACTATAGTTTAGGTCCGAGAAGATTTGTCTTTCGGCGTTAAAGAACCTAATGCACTCTGTGTTATATTTAGAAAAGTGAACACCAAAACGTTTTGATTGGTTAACAATGTTCTAAACAATGACGATCTATCCAATAAAATGACATTATTTTCACACAAACAATGAATTTAAACAGTCCTTTAGAATCTGAAATGGTTGATTGTGGATTATCTATAGGGGTATATTTTTTGTGTTTCCTAATGACACTAGGATGCATTTGTATTGATATATATCACACGTATCATTTTAATTTCATCCAATCGCATTAGTTATACAACTTTCAAATGATTATTAATTACACCAATTTAATCAGAAACAATGTTGTGAAAATTGGAAACATCAGTAGTTAACCGATATTGTAATCTCTTTAATCCATTAAGATACAAACTAAGGTAAAACAGAGACTGAGGGATTTGCACGAACTCCAAAAAGAACAGAAGGGGTGCGTCAACAGTGTAAGCGTCTCTTGCTATGCATGCCTCACCCACATACAAGTACGAAGTTGAAGAGCATTGAGGAACCAAAATCACGAAAGGTTCTGCCAATAAGCTACGGTAAAGTATTCCTTGGGTAGCAAATCTTAAGCTATTTGAACGATTCAAAGTTTTTCAACAGTTAATTTATAAATATGACCATATCAATGATATTTCGTGTTAACACAGAAGTGCTGACTACTGTGCTGGTGATACCTCCGGGGAAGAAACCTCCACCAGCAGTGGTATCGACCTAGTGGTTGTAGACGAACTTACCAAAAAATACCAGGATTATAACCCTGTACGCTTGACGCGAGTTTAGTCTAAAACAGACTCATCAGTGACGCTCGAGTCAAAAACTGTACAGTTCATATCAAGAGTGTTGAGGACCAAATATTCCGAAAGACTTTGCCAAATACAGCTAAGGTAATCTATATTTTGGAGTAGAAAACCCTTAGTATTTCGACCAATTCAAAGTTATGTCACTATGATCATATCAGTGATATATAATGTCAACGCATAAGTGGTGACTATTGGACTGCTGGTACCCTCAGACGCGCTGTTTAATATAATGGTATGAGCTCAAGGAGTAAACATAGCACGATTCTTTCTCCTGTATCAGAGATAACTTTTGAAAGATTTCTAGTTAAAAAAGAATTAAATGATACATACACGTCAAATTTGCTGAAGTCAAAGGAAGCTGGCAATTCTTTTGCATGATCTGGTGTCGCTGAAACTAGATAAATATCATTATGGTTAAAACTTAAATTCCCTAGCTTTATACAATTTTGATTTTTTTTATAATAATTCCAAAAATATATTTAAAAAAGTAACTAAGTAGTCATTTATTGATACATACCATTCTATTGCAATATGTTTATCACAAATAAATCAAAACAGTTTGTATCTACTGGTATCTTAACATACATCAACACATAATACAGTCCTTTATTGGTAATGTTTGTTGGTGTTGAACGCAATTTTCAGCAACCTTGACTGTTTTATGGAGGGCAGTTTTTGTTGGTGGAGGGAGCCGGGGTAACCGGAGAGAACATCCGACCTTAGGCAGGAAATCTGCTAATACTTTTCAATTACGACTATAATTAATGTATATGATCCTTGTTAATTTCAAGTGTTTGAGATGTTCCTGTTTTAAAGGTTTATATTCTCTACTATCTACTATCTTCCGTGTTTCAGGTGTGAGCTCTTATCCTTTCCCAATGTTTTATCATATTGAACCTTATCATTTTTCTTATTCTAAAAGGTTATTCTCCTTATCATCTACCCATGTTTTATGTGTATCATTCTTAATATATATCATAATCGTGTTTGCGATGCATGCACCTTTTCCACCCAACATTTGAGGTACATTGTTCTTATTATTGTATCCATGTTTGAGGGGAACTTTACAGTGTTTGATGTATATCATTGTTATTATTATAATTCGGTGTTTGAGGTGCTTGTTCCTTATTATTTTTGCAGTGCTTGATGTGAACTTGTCAGTGTTTGAGGTGTATGCTCTTAATTATTTTCCAGTGTTTGCGACATATGCTTCTTATTTTTTCCAGCAATCGAGGTGTTTGCTCCTTATTATTTTACAGTTTTTACAGTGTATGTTATTTATTATTTTCTGGCAATCGAGGTATTTGCTACTTATTATTTTCCAGTGTTTGCAGTGTATGCTCCTGATTATTTTCCCGTGTTTGCAGCGTATGCTCCAGATTATTTTCCTGTGTTTGCAGTGTATTCTCTTTATTATTTTCCCGTGTAATCAGCGTATGCTCTTATTTTTTCCCGTGTTTGCGGCGTATGTTCCTTATATTTTCCCGGCAATCGAGGTGATTGTTCCTTATTATTTTCCAGTGTTTGTAGCGAATGCTTTTTATTTTTTTTCAGCAATCGAGTGCATGTTCCTTATTATTTTCCTGTGTAATCAGCGTATGCTCTTTATTTTTTTCCAGTGTTTGCGGCGTATGCTCCTTATATTTTCCCGGCAATCGAGGTGATTGTTCCTTATTATTTTCCAGTGTTTGTAGCGAATGATCCTCATTTTTTTTTCAGCAATCGAGTGCATGTTCCTAATTATTTTCAAGTGTTTGCTGTGTATGCTCTTTTTTTTTCCCGTGTTTGCGGGGTATGCTCCTTATATTTTCCCGGCAATCGAGGTGATTGTTCCTTATTATTTTCCAGTTTTTGTAGTGAATGCTCCTTATTCTTTTTTCAGCAATCGAAGTGTTTGCTCCTTATTATTTTCCAGATTATGAGGCGTATGACATTAATTATTTTCTCGCAATCGAGGTATATGCTCCTTATTATTTGTCTAGTGTTTGTGGCGTATGCTCCTTTTTTGCAGCAATCGAGGTGTATGCTCCTGATTATTTTCCCGTGTTTGCAGGTTATGCTCCTGGTTATTTCCCGTGTTTGCAGCGTACTCTCCTTATTATTTTCACGTGTTTGCAGCATATGCTCCTAATTATTTTCCTGTGTTATCAGCGGATAATCCTTATTATTTCCCCATGTTTCTGACATATGCCCCTTATTTTTCGATCAATCGAGGTGTAAACTCCTTATTATTTTCCAGTGTTTGCGGCGAATGCTCCTTATTTTTTTCCAGCAGTTGAGGTGTTTGCTCCTTTATATTTTCCAGTTTTTGTTGCGTTTGCTATCTATTATTTTCTCGCAAACAAGGTATATGATACTTATTATTTTCCCGTGTTTGCGGCGTATTTTCCTTATTTTTTTTCTAGCAATCCAGGCGTTTGCTCCTTGTTGTTTTACAGTGCTTGCAGCGTATGCTCCTAATATTTTCCCATGTTTGCGGCTTTTGCTCCTTATTTTTTCCCAGCAATCGAGGTTTATGCTCCTTATTATTTTCCGGTGTTTGCGGCGAATGCTCCTTAATTTTTCACGGATTTCAAGTTGGTTCAATATTCAACATTCAACATTCAACATTCAAATTTTTTTTTTTTTTTGTTAAACTTTTTTTTTTTCAACATTCAAAATTCGTTTTCAACATTCAACATTCGTTTTTCAACATTCGATTTCAACATTCAACATTCGTTTTCAACATTTAACATTCGTTTTCAACATTCAACATTCGTTTTTCAACATTCGATTTCAACATTCAACATTCGTTTTCAACATTCAACATTCGTTTTCAACATTCAATATTCGATTTCAACATTCAACATAAAAAAAAAAATTTAATTTTTTTTTTTTCAACATTCGATTTCAACATTCAACATTCGTTTTGAACATTCAACATTCGATTAAAACATTCAACATTCGTTTTGAACATTGAACATTCGTTTTCAACATTCAACATTCGTTTTTCAACATTCGATTTCAACATTCAACATTCGATTTCAACATTCAACATTCGTTTTCAACATTTAACATTCGTTTTCAACATTCAACATTCGATTTCAACATTTAACTTTCAAAAACAAATTTAAAAGAAATATCTTTTTTTTTCTTTTGTTTTTGTTTTTGTTTTTTTTTTTCAACATTCGATTTCAGCATTCAACATTCGTTTTCAACATTCGTTTTTCTACTTTCGATTTCAACATTTAACATTCGTTTTCAACATTCAACATTCGTTTTTCAACATTCGATTTCGACATTCAACATTCGTTTTCCACATTTAACATTCGATTTCAACATTCAACATTCGTTTTCAACATTCAACATTCGTTTTCAACATTCAACATTCGTTTTCAACATTCAACATTCAACATTCAACATTCGATTTCAACATTCAACATTCGTTTTCAACATTCAACATTCGATTTCAACATTCAACATTCAAATTTTTTTTTTCAAAAAAAACCTTTTTTTTTGAACAGTCGATTTCAACATTCAACATTCGTTTTCAACATTCAACATTCGTTTTTCAACATTCGATTTCAACATTCAACAATCGAAATCAACATTCAACATTAGTTTTCAACATTAAACATTCGTTTTCAACATTCAACATTCGTTTTTCAACATTCGATTTCAACATTCAACAATCGAGATCAACATTCAACATTGGTTTACCATTCAACATTCGATTTCAACATGCAACATCGAACATTTTTTTTTCATTTTTTTTTTTTTTTTTTTTTCAACATTCGATTTCAACATTCAACTTTCGTTTTCAGCATTCATCATTCCATCTATGCATTCTTTTATAAGTACAGTGAATGTTGAAAACGAATGTTAAATGTTAAAATCGAATGTTGAATGTTGAAAACTAATGTTGAATGTTGAAATCGAATGTTGAAAAACAAAAAAAGAAAAAAGAAAAAAAGAAAGAAAAATGAAAAAAAAAATGTTTTTGAACAAAATGTTTTTAATGTTGAATGTTAAAATCAAATGTTGAATGTTGAAAACGAATGTTGAATGTTGAATACGAATGTTGAATGTTGAAATCGAATGTTGGATGTTGAAATCGAAGGTAAAAAAAACGAATGTTGAATGTTGAAAACGAATGTATAATGTTGAAATCGAATGTTGAACGTTGAAATCGAAGGTAAAAAAACGAATGTTGAATGTTGAAAACGAATGTTGAATGTTGAAATCGAATGTTGAAAAACGAATGTTGAAAACTAATGTTGAATGTTGAAAACGATTGTTGAATGTTGAAATCGAATGTAAAAAAAAAAAAAAAAAATGAAAAAAAAAGTTTTTTTGAAAAAAAAATTTTTTAATGTTGAATGTTGAAATCGAAGGTAAAAAACGAATGTTGAATGTTGAAAACGAATGTTTAATGTTGAAATTGAATGTTGAATGTTGAAATCGAAGGTAAAAAACGAATGTTAAATGTTGAAAACGAATGTTGAATGTTGAAAACGAGTTGAAAACGAATGTTGAATGTTGAAAACGGATGTTGAATGTTGAAAACGAATGTTGAATGTTGAAATCGAATGTTGAATGTTGAAATCAAATGTTGAAATCGAATGTTGAATTTTGAAAACGAATGTTGAATGTTGATAACGAATGTTGAATGTTGAAATCGAATGTTGAATGTTGAAATCGAAGGTAAAAAAACGAATGTTGAATGTTGAAAACGAATGTTGAATGTTGAAATCGAATGTTGAAATACGAATGTTGAATGTTGAAATCGTATGTTGAATGTTGAAAACGATTGTTGAATGTTGAAATCAAATGTTGAAAAAAAAATGAAAAAAAAAGTTTTTTTGAAAAAAAATATTTGAATGTTGAATGTTGAAATCGTATGTTGAATGTTGAAAACGAATATTGAATGTTAATAACGAAAAAAAAATTTGGAAAAAAAAATTTGAATATTGAATGTTGAATGTTGAATATTGATTGATCCTTATTACTTTTCAGTGATTGCGACGTATTTTCCTTTTTTTCCAGCAATTGAGGTGTGTGCTCCTTATTATTTTCCAGAGTTTTCGGCTTTTTAGCTCCTTATCTTTTCCAGCAATCGAGGTGTTACCTGCTTGTTATTTTCCAGTGTTTGCGGTGTATGTTCCTTATTATTTTCTCGCAAAGTTATGCTTCTTATTATTTCTCAGTGTTTAGGGAATATTTTCAATGTTTGAAGGGTATAATCCTTTTTGTTTTTTTACTTTTGAGATATTTACCTTTAATGTATAAAGTCCATCAGTGTATACTACGAATTCAAACACCTTTTTTAGTCATTTTTTCTACGAAATCCTATTTTCTTGTAGGTAATAACTTGTTGTGATAACAATAATTTGTGGAGTTGCATATATTAGAATAAGAAAAAAAGTCTTTATTCGTTTTATACACAATTAAATTTAACAAATTCATTCAGTTGCTTGTATTCTGTGCAAGTAATTTGTTTGAAATTGATATTGATATTTACTACGTTTCAACTTACCAATAAGTTCGTACACAATGTTGGCAATTTTAAGAATGGGTTCAACTTCTCTTCTAAAAATTGACTCAGAATTTCCCGAACCTCCAATTGGATTTAGGAAAATAACTACTGATTTTGGTCTTTTTTTCACTAAAATACAAAGAAGACTACACATTGTCCCTATCATTCTTAAAGTCAACGTTTACTGCTTCGGATATATCGTTATACATGTAATGAGCCCGAGTGCAACAGTCTTGTTTTGATACCGGGTCTGGTAACAAAAACATTAAACACTATGCTGTGTGCGTGTATCAAAGACAGGAATCTCGTCAGTGGTCAGGTTAGGTTGGGCTCTACCTTAATCGTTTTATTTATTTATGTATTTTTTTTTATTTTTGTCATTTAGGAACTTTGTATTTCTGTTGTTGCTTTCTGTCTTCTTAATGTGCATCTCCATTTATCCAGCCATACTCTTGTATTGGTACATGCTATTCCTTGCAATCTTTACTAGGAAACTTTTATAGTTTGCAAGTTTGATTTTTAGTTCGGAGTCGTAAAAAAGTTTGACTTGTCTTCCTGACGAATGTTTCCGTATATGTAGCACGTTAAAAATTCGGCTCGATCTGGATTCCACTCTACAGTGCAGAGCAGGATAGATTCGAATAACAATAATATGTTCCCGAATTTGCTGTTAGACGTTAACCAATCTTTAATTAATTAATCAGTCAATCAATCAGTATTACTGCGTGCTTAATTAACGTCACTTGACTACTTTCTTGCCATTTTAAAAACAATGACCACATACCTTCCCCAATTTTCCGTTTTACTTCAGATTGCAACTCTTTGATGTCTGAACTTCTAGCACTGATCTGTAAAATTTTCATTTCTAGTTTATTATCGCCTCCTGTTGGCCTGATGTAATATAAGTTTGCATCTGTCGTTTGCTCGTCACTTTCCCGCGTCGACTGGTCATCCGGGTCATCAATATCAATAATATCTGCATATAAGATACTAGCTAAAATACAGAATTATAATTTATACTGCACTCGTTCTATTTGAGCAGTCAAAATGCGTTGACCGTATATTTCTATGTCATATACAGTCACTGACCTGATATCACTTTTCCTCATGAATATTTAAATAGAAATTGCCGAAATTATAATTAATTATTCATACGACCTATTCAACCTGTTCTTGTTTCCAATGTATACAACGACTCAAACTTATTTCTTTTGCAATTTATAGTTTGCAAAACATATTTCACTTGTTAATATTTTTGGTTTGCAAACTATAAATCATTATGTTTTATGCTTATTAATTGTTGATATTTTAGTTCATTCTCAAACAAATTCGTTCACCATCGATTGCGGGTTTCAACAGGTAATGTACATTTCATTGTGTTGTATATTTCTCCGCCTGCATGGTATGAGGCCTTTTTATAAAAGGGGAAAGTTTTCCAATATTTAAATCAAATAATAACATTAACACATTAAACAACAATTGAAAATGCTTTTTTTAGATTGCAGTATAAAGACAATAATAGTGCATTGACTTGACATATCAACGATATAAGGATTCGGCCCGAAACGGGGAAAAAGCTCGGCAGAGCCTCGCATTTCCCCGTTTCTAAGCCTCATCCTTATATCGTTGATATGTCAAGTCAATGCACTATTATTGTCTATTTATACTGCAAACGTTCTATTTGAGCAGTCAAAATGCGTTGACCGTATATTTCTATGTCATATACAGTCACTGACCTGATATCACTTTTCCTCGTGAATATTTAAATAGAAATTGCCGAAATTATAATTAATTATTCATACGACCTATTCAACCTGTTCTTGTTTCCAATGTATACAACGACTCAAACTTATTTCTTTTGCAATTTTTAGAAAAAAAAACATATTTCACTTGTTAATACTTTTGGTTTGCAAACTATATAGACAATAATAGTGCATTGACTTGACATATCAACGATATAAGGATGAGGCTTAGAAACGGGGAAATGCGAGGCTCTGCCGAGCTTTTTCCCCCGTTTCGGGTCGAATCCTTATATCGTTGATATGTCAAGTCAATGCACTATTATTGTCTTTATACTGCAATCTAAAAAAAACATTTTCAATTGTTGTTTAATGTGTTAATGTTATTATTTGATTTAAATATTGGGAAACTTCCCCCTTTTATAAAAACGCCTCATATCATGCAGGCGGGGAAATATACATAACAATGAAATGTACATTACTGTGACCTGTTGAAACCCGCAGTCGATGGTGAACGAATTTGTTTGAGAATGAACTAAAATATCAACAATAAGCATAAAAAATAATGATTTATAGTTTGCAAACCAAAAATATTAACAAGTGAAATATGTTTTTTTTCTAAAAATTGCAAAAGAAATAAGTTTGAGTCGTTGTATACATTGGAAACAAGAACAGGTTGAATAGGTCGTATGAATAATTAATTATAATTTCGGCAATTTCTATTTAAATATTCATGAGGAAAAGTGATATCAGGTCAGTGACTGTATATGACATAGAAATATACGGTCAACGCATTTTGACTGCTCAAATAGAACGAGTGCAGTATAAAAATCATTATGTTTTATGCTTATTGCTGATATTTTAGTTCATTCTCAAACAAATTCGTTCACCGTCGATTGCGGGTTTCAACAGGTAATGTACATTTCATTGTGTTGTATATTTCTCCGCCTGCATGATATGGGGCCTTTTTATAAAAGGGGGAAGTTTCCCAATATTTAAATCAAATAATAACATTAACACATTAAACAACAATTGAAAATGTTTTTTTTTATATTGCAGTATAAAGACAATAATAGTGCATTGACTTGACATATCAACGATATAAGGATTCGGCCCGAAACGGGGAAAAAGCTCGGCAGAGCCTCGCATTTCCCCATTTCTAAGCCTCATCCTTATATCGTTGATATATCAAGTCAATGCACTATTATTGTCTATATAGAAAATGCGCAAATGCCCTCTTTTAAAAAGCGTAAATGTCCTATCAAAAAGTGCAACCGACTCGCACCGAAAAAAAAGTTGCAGGATAGAAAGAATATTCACACAGTGTATGAAAATATTGTTCATTTATATGTTTCAGACATATAAAACCTTATTTTCCTGAGAATGCATGAAATATTTGCCACTGGATGTTAAGCAACTAACCATGAATCAATCAAACAATTACAGTAGTCTTTGAGGAAAACCGTCTGATAATTGTTAAAAAAAAAATTAAAGATTAACCCATCGCGTACGTGTAATTGTTATCTTAATATCTATTCTCTAAACAAAATTGAATACATTTATCAGTTTATATCGTTTCATTTTCTTCTTTGTCACTGTTCATTTACCATAAAATTCAGATCGATCTTACTCGTCAAAGGCATAACAAAAATATTGGATCTATACATTGTAATTAGATTGCACACAAAATTATACTGTTGTTTAATTATATTTTTATTATACAGTATTTTTTATAAATAGTTAGGGAAATACGTTTTTATTTATTCCTTTCTTTTAGGCTAAATCTTTGTTGTTTTTTTTGTATTTTTTTCATAGTGCCATTTCGCAGACAGGTTGGGGAGAAATTAAAGAAAACCGGTCTTGTGCAAATTTGGAAGGAAGATTTATTTGCAAAATTTAAATCACAAAAAGTAATTAAAAAAGGTAACGACTATCGTATTTTCCTCTACAACTGTGAAAATTTATTTCTCCCTTACGAATGGCCCCGCTGAACTGACATAGATCCAAATACTGACCTGATAATACGAGATGACAACGGACAATCATGCTTCACATTCCTACTTACTTTCGATGTCTCCTTGTGAAATGTTCAAACACTGGTCTATAAACGATACTGTAGCTTCTAGTCCATCAGTTTTTACCTTAAATTGTGACATTTTACTGATGATTGCTTTTGTTTACTATCTGTAAATAGTGTAATATATTTTAGAATCCGGTTATTTGGGGTGCTCGAAGGGTATTTATTGGAATTCAGGTTGCTCATTACTGTATCAAAAATCGTTGTTAACAATCATACATTCAGGTTCTGATTGGTCTCGTCTTTGTCGCTGGTATTCACACACTAATATAGTTTATATTCTACGCGATTGTTTTCTGATATCTTCTACATATATGATTAAAGAGGGTCGGAATGCCCTTCACCGTCAGGCGTCAAACGGTCATTTTCGGCTACCGTTAGCGTCAAATTGGTTAAAATTTTACCGTGATTCGCGTCAGAGGTCTCCAATAATTATCGTAACCGTTATTTTTGGAAAAAAATTAGCGTGATGCTTCAAAATCAGTCAATTTTTTTATCGTCTAAAAAAAGTGTTCATATTATCGTCATGCACCAAAAATTACCGTTAACGTCATTTGGCAAGAACTTTTACTGTTATTCGTCATGAATGTACCCCCATTACGACCCTCATTAAAAGCACCAAGAAATCACAACTTGGATGAAAATGAAAACATAAAAATATATGTCATTTATATATATTTATTACACATGATATGATATACGATGAATACTGAAAACAACGAAAAATGTTTACACATGTAACACACACACACTATCTCTCTCCATTCAATATCATGCACTTGGGGGCAAAGACAGCTAGCCCCCTTTTAAAGATTTTTTATCTTAAATGTTCATATATATTTCAAATCATTTTCTATGGAAAGCCTCAGCTGTCATATATTAGAGATTTACAAAACGTTATGCTGTAGCTTAAAATGTAAAGTTAAGACATCGTGATGATGTTGAATTGAGTCATCAAAATGCTAACTCTAAATTACAATATGCTAAGTTGAATTTGCGCAATGTTGACTTGCAATGACAAGTGCTTTAGTCGTGATATTATAATGATAAGTCACGATGTTGTGATGATATGTCAAACACACGCAACGTTGGGTTTAAAGTACATGATGTAAAGTTGACGTTGCATGATGTTAGCTTGCAGATGGATACTGCTCAGTCATCCACTTCGATAGCTATGATAACAAATAAAATGAATAGCTAAAATGTATGGTGCTGACTTGTTATTAATAAATGTTGAGCTGAGATAGTACGATGTTATATCATTGTGATATTACGATAGGTCTATCATGCAATCTGTTGATTTAAAACACCATGATGCACAGTTGAAAGTACATGATGTTAAGTTAAGATAACACGATGCTACACCACTATATTGAAACGAAAGGCTTACCATACGTACACGATGCAACGTGTTAAGCTAAGATGCTCACTTGAAACTACACGTCGTACAGTTGAAATTTTGTAATGTTAAGCTACGATAGCACGATGTTATATCATTATAATGTCACAATAGGCTTATTATACAATTTGATAATTTAAAACTACACAACGTACAGTTGAAAGTACGTGATGTTAAGCTAAGATGGCACGTTGTTATATCATTATAATGTCACGATAGGCTTATTATACAATTTTCCTTATTTTGTGTGTTATTGCTCTTGTCTATTGTATCTTACAAATAACTGTCGTTTATACATCTATATCTGCCCCGCTATTCTTATTTTCTAGTGGAGAGTAAAATAAGGGAGGTCATGCACCAATTAAGTGCCTGTGCATTCAATCTGCTACAAATAAGTCTCACAAATAGAACCCCAAGGATTGACTTGGCTATGGGAATATGGTCAATATGCTATATAGAGTGTGGCGTCCGTTTTGCAGTGTGGATTTACCTTTTTTGGGACGTCGGGATTTGACCTCTATTTTTGCGCGAATTCGGGATAAACACTTATCGGGACTCGGAAATTGAAGATTTTCCGGGATCCAGAATGAATGCTTTATATTTTTGGGAATTCCCCCCCCCCCCCCCCCCCCCCCCCCCCAGGAATGAATAACATATGCAGCCACATCCAGGCATTGGGCGAATTACATTGCAATGTAATGCATTATATTACAATTACTTTGACCAAACCATGCATTATATTACAATTACTTTTGCAAAGTAATGCATTATAT